TAGTTCGCAAGTGCATGGATGAGGAAGTTAGAACTAGCGAAAGTCCCTCGGAATAAAAAATAAAAATTAATTGGGGGAAAGGAGGTCGTCGAGCCGAAACAAAATGAAAAGAAAAGAAAACGTGCGACTTACTACTGATTGCGGTCGTTGTCAGGAGCTGGTGGATTCTCCGGCAAAGGCGGGTGGGTCAGTTTCGCAGGCCGTGGATTTGATAATAAGGCGAAACCGCGCACAGATTCTACTTGGATTTGATAGTAATAAAAAATGTTGACTCGGAGGATCGCGGAGAGAACGGTACTGCAGGAGTCGGGGGCTGTCAAAGAGGTAGCAGGCTTCGGGTTTATATACGATTTTTCGGGGGTGGGTCTTGGTCATGGGACGCGGAAGGAGATTTTGGATTTTGGTTCTTCATTGGTGGATTAGTGGGAGGTGTCAGGGGGTTGTCTTTCTTATTGGCAACCCGACCATTAAGTCGTTGTCGCCCTTTGATATTTATTTAGGGGTATCATTTCCTTCAGCGGCTTTCGAAAAATTCCGAGTTTTACTTTTGGGTCATGTTTTTGGTCAACATATCCTTTTTGAATCCCCTTAGTGTCTCGGATGTTAATATTTAGGAAATCTGGACTTTGAAATTGCCGTCTGAAAGGGCCTGATCCCACCTTGTCTGTTGTTTCTTCCCTTTTTATTATTTCAACGGTTATCGACCAGCAACAATTAGGGCACTTTACGTTTCGAGTTTCGAAAAGTATTACTCAGGTTGATACTGAAATGCAAATTCTTTTCTATTAGCAAGAAAATAATAGATATAAAGGTAAGTCTTGAATAAAAGCATATCTATATTAATACATTTTAAACGTTCGCTGCCATCAAATCGTGTCGCGCTGCCCCGTGCGCTCAAGTTGTAGCAGATCCGGTGTTCTGTGCAAGCGCTCTCACGTCGCGAGACCAACGTGCTTTCGCAAACATACTAAAATATTAAATATCCAATATCTAACGTTGGCTCTCATTGTCTAATTATATATGTTGTTTAAAACCTTTAATAAACTTTTATTCTTATTAAATTTACTAAATTTTATTTATAATTTATTTATGCAATCTATTATGAAAAGTGTACAAAGGGTTATTTACAATAATGTTGGTAATCAGTTTTTATACAAATAGAGCCTTTTATTTGCCTTTCACGATATTAATTAAATTTGTAGGTATATGTTTCAAAGGTTTGCATTTGTTTTACAGATAGGAACAAATCTTACACGAATTGAATCAGCAGGGCGAAGTATTATATCAACTACCATCCGAACATGTTGTAAATAATCAATGGGCTCCAAGTAGAAATTGTGTACCAGGGGAGCTATCATCGCCTTCATTTCCAGCATAGCAAATCGTTGGCCTATAATTTGATAGGTATCTATTTATACAGTATAGTATTTTATAGTAGCTATACATCGAAATATTTAAAAAAAAAGTACTGCTTACCAATACAATTACGTGGTCCAGCACTGAATGGTACATACGAATAAGGATGACGATTTCTGATTTTCTCAGGCAAAAATCTATCGGGATCGAATAATTCTGGATTTGGCCAAAAATTGGGATCTCTGTGAGCTTTATACATATTAAAGAACACGTACGTTCCAGCTGGTACTATATATGACTCTAAACATATCCAATAAGTCAAATAATAATTTAGAATATTAGTAAAATTTTTCAATTAAAATATCTAATTACGAGGCATGCTTTTAAAGTAAGTTCCGTTTTAATTTTTTTCCGCCGCAGCGCTGCAGTTGTGATTTAAATTTGAGCATGCGCGATCACTTCCTCCATTCATTAGGAAGCCAGACGCAGGTACGAGCGATCACCATTTTGTGTTTTCCTGTTAGAGCGTTTCGAAATGTTCAAGACAATCGAACGACCCGCCGACTGTAAAGTCAGATCAGTGATTAGGTTTTTGAATGCGAGAAATGTTACACTAGCAAACATTCATCGCCAATTGTGCGAGGTTTACGAAGACAACAACGATATTGTGAAACGTCTGTCCTCGCGAATTTTTCCTTCCACTGCTTGCACCAAATCATCCGTGATCACAGACGGTCGGCCGCTTCGCGACTCGTCATGCACGTTTTCTCGACCTTATCGTTAAAACTGTCTAACCCACTTCCTCACCATTCCATCAGTCATTATTGTTTCTCCGTAAACCTCACACAATTGGCGATGAATGTTTGCTGGCGTAACATTTCTCGCATTCAAAAACCTAATCACTTCACAGTCGGCGGGTCGTTCGATTGTCTTGAACATTTCGAAACGCTCTAACAGTAGGAAAACACAAAATGGTGATTGCTCGTACCTCTCGTCTGGCTTCCTAATGAATGGAGGAAGTGATCGCGCATGCTCAAAATCACAACTGCAGCGCTGCGGCGGAAAAAAATTAAAACGGTACTTACTTTAAAAACACGCCTCGTAGATGTACATCTAATACAACATAAGGAATGGATTTCTATAGTTTTAAAGATAAAAAATATAATTACTTTAATCTTTATTCAACATTATTTGCTTAATATTATTTTTGTTAAATATTATTTGTTGTATTAAATGTAGTTTTATTAATAAATTTTTTAGAATGTTATGTTACTAAATTGTTAAATAAAAATGTAAGAATTTTATAAACTTCTAAATAGGAATTAGTATTTTAACCATCTTTAGTTTATACATAAAAAAATGTGTACAAGAAAAGATTTAATAGATGCATACGTAATTTTACGTCTTCACCAGGAATTCGTGATATTAGATATACACTAGGATATAAGCGTAACGCTTCCTTTATACATCTGTCTAAATATGGTAAGTCGTGCAACAATTTCATAGTAAACTTTTCTCCATTCTCTTGTAAAGCCGTATCGATTTCATTCCTTACACGATCCTGCATCATCATTATTAATTAAAAAGGTGTTTCTTACTACTGCACTTTTATGAAACAAATGAATTCAAAGAAATTCGGAGAATATCACCAGCTGATAACTAACATTGTCTTTGTTTTATTACAAATCTCATTTTAACAACAATATTACGTCATCTTTCTACCTGCACTTATTCACAATTATGTTTTAATTTATTTATTTGATGTATAAGTGTATAAAATGCATTTGAAACATGATAGATAATTTACAATACATGCACGAGTGTATCCTGCGCGGCGCATATACAACACTCACGTATTTCAAATTATCTATTTTGTTTTACATGCATTTTATACATACAGGGTGTCAGATTCGATATGGACAATCCCAAAGATTATAGTAGATTGGGTTAAACTGAGAAGAAAAGTTATATAAAATTTTACAAAATCGTAATTATTATCGGCCGAATTCAGAAAAACGTCTGAGCCAATAAGGCCGGACTCGGCAGCATGCAAAATGGTGTGTTTGTTGACATCTCTGAAAAATCGATAGCGAGAGGTGGAGTCACGCATCGATCGATGAGAGACGGTGGCAAGCGCGGAGCGGGGAGCGGTGAGCGGGCGAACGCGTTCGCTATCGTTTTTTGAGAGATGTCAACAAACACACCATTTTGCATGCTGCCGAGTCCGGCC